AAGACACCGAGATACTTACATTCCTCCACTTCAGGCAGGACCTCATCCCTAACCTGGAGGAGGCATTCTACCCTTTTCTGACTTCAAGACCATGATCTCAAATTTAGAGGAGCAGATTCTCATCCCAGCTGCTTCACACTCAGCTGTGAACTGCTTCAATGAGAGCCTGAGATCCAGTTCTGATTCAAATTCAAAATTCAATTCAAATTCAAAAGTACTTTATTAATCCCAGAGGGAAATTCAACTGTTTCAGTACACACAATTCTGAGATCAGACATACATACATAGACACATGACAAGAATTGGTGACTGTGGTCATTCGCAACACGAGTTGCACTACCGTTATAGATCAAGAGGGTTTATATGAGGATTGAGTCGGGGGGAGGGGAAAAAGGCACTTCAGAGTTACCCCCGACAGAGAGGGTAGCTTTGCTATGCAAAAAAACACCTCAGACAGATATGCACACAGACTTCAGACGATACACAACATAAGTGTCCACTAGGTGGGGAGGTAGGGTTGGGCCTCTCCTCACTTCAGGGCGTGCAGCCGCAAGAGCAGCGCTCATCACCTCCATTTGGACAGGGGAGGGGGATAATGGGTTAGAGAGCACAGTGACTCTTGCTAGATACGGTTCCACGGCCTTCCACCGGTCACAGTCCTGCCCAGGCTGGGATAGGGAGAAAGGGTTTCCATAGCAACGGCAGCATTCCACATTTCTTCTGAGGGGAGAGTTTTCACTTCAGCTTCACAGGCTCCAAGGGCACCAGATTCAGATAAGAATTGTTTTGGGTACAGACAGAGATAAATTCCTCTCTGCCTTAGTGTTCTGTTGGTCTTCAACCCCTCCATGTCCAATAATGGTGTAATCAATCTATTCCAGTCTGTGCTGTCCCGCCAACTCTCCTTGATTGAATCAACCTTCTGTGCCAGACCCTGAATCTCAGCCAAAGTTCCAAGCTTACGACTCATCTCGACAATTATATGAGTTTGTGCGTTCACAGCGCGATGCATTCCATCCCTGAGCTTCGGGATTAAGCCAATATTACTCGAAAGCTTGTTAATTTTCAGGTATAGGTAACCAACCGCTCAGGCCAAACAGCAGGAATCCCAACACCAAAACGACGAATATCCAAACATCTTCAGAATCCGCTACAGACAGTTGAGAGAGGCAGATCAGGTTCCACTGTTTCCAGGAGTCCATGATATGCCCAGCTGGTTCTGTCCCAGAGGGGTAACCGGGAGCCCCTTCTCCCGTTCTCATTGTTGAAAAAATTTTGTCAATCGTGTTGAGAGACCAACTGACCAGATCCATGTTTAATAATTTCCAGTTTCCAGAAAAAATGCAGAAAGCGCAGAGCACAGGCACACAGGACAGAGAGACTTGGGAGGAGGAGGGAGGGAGAGGAGAAAAAAGCATCTGTACTCTGCATCCAGGGCTCCATCCTCTGCATCACAGTGGTAAGCCTCAGCAGTGACAGATCCAGAAAATGTTTTTCTGCAGGTGCTATGAAGGAGCTAGTCTTTTTATTGAGGGTGCTATGAAGGAAGTGGTCATGCGTACCTATTGTTCTCTAAAACACCTTCAACACTAGCAGATACACATGCGTGCACAAAACCTCAACAACACCTGAAACAATCATTAATATTCATCATAAACATATGAACAATCGCTGGCTTTTCCATGAAATCATAAACACATACAGCCACACAGAAGACCATCTATAGTGTTGCAAGGTTAGCTAACATTAGTATTAGCATTTCCAGCGGCAAAACCCTCGACTGCTGCGACAGTTGAGGGTTGACTCTCTTCATGCAGATCCGTAGGTTTTTGTTGGTCTGAGATCACTTCCAAAGATTCACTAGTTTCTGACTGAGCCTGCGGAAATTTGGGCAACAAAAACCGATCCATTTTACCACTAGCTCTAACTTTCACTTGTTCGCAGGTGGAAAATGAGGTCAAAGGTTAACATCAATTTCCTGTTTTGGTTTAAGTTTTTACTATCTATATGATAATTCACTGATTATTTTTGTTTTGTATGTTAAATATTATCGCATACATATGTTGAATTAAAATTAAATTGTAAAAAAAATAAAATCTAATATTTATTTGGGGGCGATATGATGGTGCAATGACTATTCCAGGGGTAGCTATAGCGCCCCCCCCTGGCGCCGTCACTGTAAGCCTCATTGGTCTCTTCCTGTTCTGGCTGTCCAGGCTGAAGTACCTCCTCATCAGGATCTGGACCATCCCGATCAATGTCCTGGAGGGAACAGGTGTGCTGCACTGCATATGGATGTAGCAATCCGTCTGAGGGAGGAATCAGAATGTATGGCTTCCCCAAAGACGCAGAGAGAAGAAGAAAATGGTTGGCTCAAGTCAGCAGGAGCAACCTCACCATGACCAGAGATCACAATAACAAAAAGCTGTGTGCAGTGAGTTTAATGTGCACACTCAAATGTTTTCTATAAAGACTCTACATGTTTTGCTCTCAAATGCACAAGGCTGCAAAAAAACTGTTAAATGTGCCAGTAAATAAACTATTACACCACTCTACAGGCACATTTTGAGGAGGGACAGTTTACTAAGACTAGGCAAGGCAAAGTGAGACTCAGGGCTGATGCTGTGTTTGTTCATCGCCCTGAACCAAGGAGGAGGAAGTGAGAAGTACAGCAGAACCACTGCATGTTGATCCACTGACCACACATATTGCACTCAAGTAAACCGTGGTATGAATCTTTTGAAATATTAGATATTTGTATTTCTTTTATTTAAAAATTATTGTTTATTCTAACAGTGCCATTATAATTTCAGAGAATGAAGAAAGCAGCAGCAGCAGTGAGGCAAATGAGATGAGGAAAAGTGAGGGGGGCATGAGATGGTATCAGGAGAGAGGGACATCCCAGGAAGCCATGAGGAGCCGGCATCAGGGCCAGGATGAGAGAACAGGCCATGCAACCAGGGAACCCAGCTGGAAAACCTAAGGGAGGAAATAGAAAGTCAAAAAGGCATGAAAAACACAAGGGGCATTAAATGGAGTAAACAGATAATCAAAAAGGCCGTACAACTCGGTTTTTCAGTGGGTTCAACAGGCTGCAGGTTTCTTCAGGACATGAGTATCCCTCTGCCTGATGTTAGAACCCTGCAAAGACAAATGCAGCCCATTAACTGGAACCAGGTGTGTTAGGAGAGGTGTGTGACATGCTCAGTTTGAAGGTTAAAAATCTGACAGAGATGGAAAGAGAGTGTGTGCTTACTGTGGATGAGATGGCAATCACTCCAGGCGTGCATCACTCCATCACAGACCCAACTGGGTTTTGCCACCACCGTTGTTCCTGGTCAGCTCTGCGCTCAGCCACTATGAAAACATGAAGATGGACACACAACACAGTTTAACCTTTAATGGTTACATAAGATTTTTGTTTTAGTAACTCTTTGACATTTATTTATCAATAGTTATGTTATTTTTAATTCTTATTTCTTGTCATTCCTTAATAACAAAACAGCAAATACTAATTTTATAAAGCAAGTGGAAATGAGCAGTTTTATAGAAAATGTCTCATTTTTCAAAGTTATTGCGTTCGACTACTGTTCTTGAAATATCGTAATTCTATTCTTATTACTTGAGTTCACAAAATAGAACAACAAATCTTCTTACGTTCATAATCCTGTTTGTCTCATGCTTCAGCAGTTTGTTGCAGTCAGTGTTATCAACTGGAAAATATTAAATAATTACTTGTCTTCACAATCACATTTTTCTTTATTCTCTGCATTTGTGCTTCCATTTCTGATGCATGTTCGTGTTGATACAGCAACCAGCAATGTATTGTACAAAAAAATCCCAAATGAAACTAATAATGTAAAAAGTTTATAACCTATTTCAAACTGTGGGGAATGTGTTTTAAAATGTAGAGATAGTACAAAGTACATATGTCATTTGTATGATTTATATATTTATGTGAATTTACAAGCCGGTGAGTCTGAGCACAGTGCTTTGAGAGGGATCTGAGCATGTGAAATGAAATGAAAGCTCCCAAAAAAGTAAGATACCCTTTAAATTTAAGGCAGCATATTAAGCCCACATCTGAAAAAAGTTCTTTCATTTTGAAAAACATCATCAAGGTCCGATTAAAAACCGATCGTTTTTTATTAAGGTATTTCTTGAGATTAAGGTATTAAGGTGTTAAGGAGCAATATATATATATATATATATATATATATATATATATATATATATATATATATATATATATATATATATATATATAAATATATATATATATATATATACAACATACATACGGCATGTCTGTATTTATATATTGTGCAGCTTTGTCGCCCTCTTGTGGACACAACCATGTGCACTATTGAAGTTCCTTGGAAATTGCGACCTTTTCATCCATTCATTTAATTTTTTCATTAATCAGAAGTTAAATAGATGCTGCAATGACAGTTTGTTGTGTAAAAAGCCCACAGTGGTAATTGTGAGCAATTTTACGAGAAAATTTTATAAAACGGTGGAAGAAAAAACATTTAATTTATGTCACATTATGTCTTATAAAGTTATAAACTTGCAGCATACAGGACAGAGATTTAATGTTACAATTTTAGATACGATAAATGTATACGTAGTATTTGCTAGCAAAAACGTATTCCTTTCGTTTCTGGGAGTTGTAGTCTTTTAATGTTTGCACCGCTTTGGTTTACTGCTTTAGGCACTCAATTTCCCACAATGCAACAGCGTCCTCCTAAACCTCTAGTTGGCTGGGTTTACGCCTACGTTAAATCAGCTGTAATCCGTGCTCTACTCAACTGAATCTTCTGCGGCTATCTTCTCGTTTAATAGGAGTTTGCTCCGAGTAACACAAAAATGGACAACTCGGGCAAAGAGAAGGAAGCGACTCAGCTAATGGCCGACGCTGACAAAAAAGTCAAGTCTTCTGGCTCTTTTTTAGGCGGAATGTTTGGAGGGTAAGGAGACAGCACTGCACCAAAGAACAGCGGCTAGTACCGTCCAGTGTCAGCAACTAAAAGTTGGCACGTAGCCCATCTCTACACAACATTCAGATTAGCAAGGAAGCACAAAGATTGTACAAGTGTTAATAAATAACAAACATTAAAACATCTGCTACCTTATGTAGCTGTTTTAATTCTTATTCAATAATTGATGTTTACAGAATATGCATACAAATCATTGTATAAATATATCTTCAAATGGATGTAAACAAAGGGATCTAGGTCAACGGTTCCCAAACTTTCCAGTTTCAGATCCACAAATGGCAATTAGCATGACGTTTGATCCCAGATATCTCTGATCTTTGCTGTTAATGATAAACTGAGCACCACAGTGTGCGACATATGCTGCTCAGCACTGATTGGCTCGGTTAGAATTCTCAGGGGGTGGGGGTTATAGGGTCGTTACCACTACCAGGTCCATTGCTTCCCGTAAGGAAGCACTTGCATGGCTGTCAAGACTAAAAATATAGGCGAGGTGAGGATGATGAGCTAGTGTGATGCTTATTGTGAATGGAGTGAAGAAGAGAGGACAGATCGAAAGGTGACTTGCTCTTTCAAATTATAGGGTTCTCTTATCAAAGTTGATGCATTTGGTTGTCTTGGCGTTAAGGCAGAGATGGAGGTTATGAAAATACAGAGGTGAGGCTGAGCTGAAGAGCAGCTGCTGCAGAGATGGGAGAAGAACCAACTGAGAACAAGATGGCGTCATCAGCAAACATGTGAATCTGAGAATTACCAGCAGCTTTGCAACATAATTTGTGTAGATAGAAAATAGACTTGGGCCCAAGATGGAGCCCTGAGGAACACCTTTAGAAGTAGTAAGTGGTTCTGACCAGATGTTTTCGGTTTTCAGCTGTTGAACACGGTTAGTTAGCTAGCTGGCTAATCAATCACAGCAAGGTGGAGACAGGCCAATGTTAGATAAAAAGCCCAGCATATGGTTATCCAATCCTGTCAATCCCCATATCAGTGATTTTAAATTAATTGCTTTTTATGACCGCTCCTTTAATCCGTAAAACATTTCCACAAGGTCATTTGTAGAGTGATAACGTTGCTAAGTTGGCAGTGTTAGTCCTTTGTGGCTCACTCACTCTACCAGTATTTCTGCAGTAGACGACTCCCAGATGTTACTGCAGACTGGCAATTCTGTGACTAATCTGCAATCTCAGGATTGAATCCTACTGGGAAATGTGTCACCTTTTGTACATAAACCAGTTTATTAGATGCATTTATAAACCTAACTGCCTTAAATGTAGTAATAATTTGCTCATTATTTAATGTATTCTTCTAGAGGACATCACAAAGTGGAGGAGGCATGTGAGATGTACTGCAGAGCTGCCAACATGTTCAAGATGGCCAAGAACTGGAGTGGTATGTAGAAGTCTTATTTGCAATTTCTGTAAAGTTTTAATGCTGTATTATAAAGAGCAAGAAAAGATCCATAAAGTGCATGGAAAATACAGATTATTTATTTTATCTGTAAACTTTCACCTTTTTTCTCTTTTCTTCAGCTGCTGGAAATGCATTTTGCAAGGCCGCTCGTCTTCACATGCAGCTGCAGAACAAACACGACTGCGCCACCAGTTTCATCGATGCAGGAAATGCTTACAAAAAGTCTGACCCTAATGGTAAGACTGTGGTTGGTAAATAAGAATAACATTCACCCCTTCAAAACAGTGGATTATAAGAATAACACACACATTTGAACATTGTCCACGATCAATGTGGCACTAGATCAGTCCTCTCTAGCAATTTCAAAGCCTTCTAATAAGGCCTGGTCCACATGTAGCCGGGTTTTTTAAAAACGAATATTCGCCCCTCCAAAAACTTGCATCCACACCACCTCGTAAAAAAAAAAAACTCTGTCCACACGTACCCTGATAAATACGTTGTTAAGGACATGCCAGACCTGTAGGCTGCAGTACTTCCCCCGTTCTTAACCTCGTCCTTCGTCTGGGGTCTTCCGCAAGGAGCAGTAATTCCGCTTGCAAAAACAAACAAGCAAAAAGCGCTTGGACAATTGATAAAGCGAGCGCAGCTCTGAGGGCATCCATGCTGTCGGCTAGTGTAAACACAGGTCGCACACGTGATGTCAGCATTTTTTGTCGCGGAAAGTGACGTTGCGGACCTTAAAACTCCAGTTTTGTCTGTCCACACGCAGACACCCAAAACGGAGAAAACGCAGATCTTCACTTTGGCCGGAGTTTTTAAAAAGATCCGTTTTCGTGTGAAAAAAACTCCGTTTTCGTGTGGATGACAGGCCAAAACGTAGAAAAATATCTACGTTTTGGCAGATCCCCGGCTACGTGTGGACAGGGCCTAAAATAGTGCTCAAATGATGATGTGTCAAGCAGTTCAACCTTATTAAATTATGTTATATCACTTTGAAAAGCTTGATTCTCTACAGTTGTTTTTATTTCAAGTGGTCAAAGAGATGTTAGCCGTCGGAGTGTATTGCATTAACTTCGAAAAAAAAGTAAGAGCTCTGTTTTTCTCAAATAACATAATTTTTTACAACAAATTTTTAAATAGCAGTTTTTCCTTTGCGGTCGGCTCATGGATCCCTGGAAGAATGAAAAAAGGAATATGAGTCAACGGGGCTAAAAGAGCTATTTTGTAATCCACTTTACCGTACGCTCTGAAGTGCACACATGTTGTACTTCAACTTAAATGAAAAGCAATGATGTGTGGTCGATCACGCCAGTCTTTGAGATTTATCAGCTTGTAAGAGTTTGTAATTAGCGTGACTACATGTTGCACCACAGAATCTGCTCTCCCCTAGCGTAGCTGCTACTTACCACATGGCCAGATTAAAAAAAATTATTTATTTATTTATTTCCTTTATTACCAAAACAGAAAAAAAAACAATACCAACAAATAAAATGAGGTTTCTCAAACGAAGAAAATGAAAAGGGAACAGAAAGAAGAAAACTTATGTTATCTGCCCCTTTTTAACTAAAATAACATTTTTACAGTGAAATAACAATAATTATAAATTGGCCTATACAAAGTAATTGCTTTACTGGTTAGCTATCCCGAGTTCAATCTCCAAAGAAGAACGAAAAAATTAATTGCAATAATAATTCAAAAAGCAAAAGGATTTTTGCACATACATATATACATTAAAGTGCATCGCATGCCCATATAGTCGCACATACTTCATTTATACATATACATATAGATATACACACGTATCCACTACATAAACACATAAACAAACATACATATATTTATACATAAACACATGAATATACCTACACACATCTTCTATAGCTTTATTTATTTAGTTTATTTTAATATAATTGATTTGCACGTATGACTCCAGTATTTCATTTTTAATTAGTTTTTTGAAAGTAAATATTGTTTTTTTGCATCCTTGGCACATAAATGGGATCAAAAAATAACGTTTATAGCCTCATTGACTTGCAGACTTTTTTTTTTTTGTTATTCTGGCGACCAATGAGGATTTATAGTGGCTCTGTCATTCTGAAGAAAGGATTTGAAGTTTGCTGAACTTACAGCCATTTTTCCTCCAGTTTTCTCCGTGTCTGGTTTAATTACGTCACTTTGGTGATGTGTTTCTATAGTCCTGGACGTATCTTCACACGAAATATAAAATAACGTTTCCCCCTGTTCGAAAATAAGTGCGTATTTGGCATCAAAATGTGTCTTTAAAATTCACAGACATCATATGTGAAATCCAAGGCACGTAAATGGGATTAAAAAGTAACATTTATAGCTTCAATGACTTGCAGACTTTTTTTTAGTTATTCTGGGGACCCATGGTCCAGAAGTAGATGGGCGTGATTTAGACTCCCTTTATACATTATTTCTCAGGCTTGACACCAGAACAGACACAAATTCCTCACATGTCGACAAACTAATAATGATTTTCTCTACATAGTTTACAGACGAGTTCCCAGTTTCTCAGTCCCGAAACCAGACTTAAAGAAAGCAGCATTTTTCTTTGAACTAACGTTTTATTGAACTTAAAAGTTCTACGTATAATCTGATTGATTCTCCCACGTTGTTTTCATCAGACAATCTGTGTTTTGTTTACATCTTTTTGAAAAACAGTTGCTCTGTATTTGCAACCCTTTCGTTCATTCACTATTATTATATGTTATAAATATGATACGATAGGAAACACCGTGATTGGATAAATTTATATTTCATATTTTGTGGAAGTCTGAAGAGTTGAAAAGTTTTCACGAGTCCTCAAGTAATGTCTCAATTATAAGAAAACTGTGATTTTTGTATTTTGCTCTCCTCGTGTCTCTGTGCTGGATTAACATCCAATACAGACATGTTGTGTACACGATGTCTAACTGTCCCTTCCTCTTTTCTTTGTGCTGCTAAAAGAGGCAATCAAGTGTTTAAATGCTGCCATCGATATTTACACAGACATGGTAAGATGCCCTTAGATTGTGTTCTCATCCACAGCAGTCAGTCTGCTTTTGTTATTATTTCATATTTGGATTTCTGGTTGTGACTTGACTTTATCAACATAGTCCAAAACCATATCATCTGAGTAACTCAATCCCTCAGGTTCAAGGCTGCCGCCATCCTTACTTCCATGAATTTGGTGCGATAACCTTAAAGTTTGTCCACGAGATAGTCTTTGTAGCTCCACCTTGCCTCTTTGACTGGAACATAACATCCTCATTGACCTTAAAGTTGACAGTCAGTAATGGTTTCTGCCCTCTTCCTCCTGCTCCTCCAGGGAAGATTCACCATTGCTGCCAAACACCACATCAGTATCGCAGAGATCTTTGAGTCTGAACTTGTGGATATTGAAAAGGTAATATTGTCAGAGCTTGTGGTAGTCATCTAATACCAGAAAACATGTTTATTACATCGTCTGTAAAGTATTTTTTTAAAAGAAAAGTGTTCCATGTGACTATTTTTGTTTCTGGAAAGGCGATTGCTCATTACGAACAAGCAGCAGACTACTACAAAGGAGAGGAGTCAAACAGGTAAAATCTATTCTATTAAGAAGGTTTAAAAAAATCAATTGTCTTTATGTAAAAAAAGCTATTTAAACAAATCGTGATTTTACATGTAGGCAGCTTCTTTAGTTGCCTTCGTTTGCAGAAATAGTTTAAAGAATTGATGAGCTAACTGCTAGGTTCAGAGTATTGATGCCATGTAAAAAAAATAAAGCTTGAATCTTCTATTTGTCACTTTTCTACCAGCATCAGTACATGGTGGTTACAGCAGAGGTATTAGGACCTTTCTGCTGGAGCGGACCCCTCCTTTTGTTACAGCCCGGCTCATGGGACTGCAACAAAAGGAGGAGGTCAGGACACAAGGTTAATGTTTAAGAGTATATATTTTTTTTTATTAAAACCAAGCCTCTAAAAGGCCTCACCAAAAATGCCACACAGGCAAGAGCTACCAAAGGTGCTCCCTCTGATCAGCCTCAACACCTGATCCTCCCGAGTCCCTCCAACTTGCACTTAGCACAGGTGCAGCCACTCATAAAGTCCAGGCTGCACACAGCCACACCAATAACAAAGCAGAAGGGCGTCGGCAGAAACTTCTGAAGCAGCCAATCAGCTGGTTGCACTGGCACAGCAGTCCCCAAAGAGGATGGGTTCTTCGTTTTCTTCCAGTAGCAGGGGTCGTAACACCTGGCTGCACAGGAAGTGTTGCACGTAGCTGCTGCTGTTCATATTTCACATGTCAATAACCACATGATGACTGGGCATAGCTTAAATAGTAAATGGCCTGTATTTGTATAGCGCCTACTTAGGGTTCTACAACCCCCCAAGGTGCAAAACAACACAATCAGTTATTCACCCATTCACACACACATTCACACGCTGGTGGGGATGAGCTACAATGTAGCCACAGCTGCCTTGTACTGACACAAGCGAGACTGTTGAACACAGGCGCCACCGGTCCCTCCTACCACCACCAGCAGGCAAGTGGGGGTTAAGTGTCTTGCCCAAGGACACAACAGCAGCATTCTCCGGTGGGAGAGCCTGCAATTGTCCGATTACTGGACAACCCGTTCTACCTTCTGAGCTACTGCTGCTTCCTGTTATTAAACGTGGCCTTGTTATGCAGCGTGTACGATGCCAATAAGCAGACCCAAGTGATGAACAAGTCTTTCTTCAGTAACATAATCTTGTATTTAATGATATTTTTGGCCCTTTCTCTCAGTTCTGCAAACAAATGTCTGCTGAAAGTGGGAGCGTACTGCGCTCAGCTGGAGCAGTACCAGAAGGCCATCGAGATCTACGAGCAGGTGTGTTCTCACGCTCACTTTTCTCCACAACCAAAGCGTTTCAGATTAATATCGTACGATCTGATCAGGTCGGAGCGAACACAATGGACAATCCGCTGTTGAAATACAGCGCCAAAGAGTACTTCTTCAAAGCCTCTCTCTGTCATTTCATCATTGATGAGCTGAACGCTAAGGTAAGCTCTGTCGTCCCCCCAGGATTTCGGGTAGTGGAGTGCTGTTTTTAACACGTCCGGGTGTCTCCACAGATCGCAGTGGAGAAATATGAAGAGATGTTCCCAGCTTTCTCAGACTCCAGAGAGTGCAAGTTGCTAAAGGTAGCTCAAAGTTATGCTCTGAAGAATCCCTTCTTTATATTTTGAATCTCTGAGGCTAACTTGCACTTTTTTTTTAATTCATCTCCTAACAGAAACTTCTGGAGGCTCACGAGGAGCAGAACAGTGAGGCATTCACAGAGGCAGTAAGTTTCGTATTCTATTTCGTATGAAATAGTCTGCAACTTCTCCAGTTTGTACTGTTGTCAGATCTCTAGTGTATCTCCTTAGCCTGGCAAGCCATCCTATATATGACTATATAGTGTGGCCACGACCCGTAGACTGAGCTCGGTCGTGGGGCGGAATCTGCAGTTGTCTTTCAAACTGTCTCAAAGAAGCAAACACACCTTTTTTCAACTGGGTATCCGCAGGTCCTTAAAAAGTCTTAAATTTGCTTTTCCAAATTTAAGTCCTCAGAAATCCTTAAAAATGACAAATAATTCTTAAATCCAGTTTCCAAATGTCTTAAATTACCAAAGACCCAATAAACAAGATTATTTTATTTCTATAAAATTTTCATGAATTTCTAGTTAGTGTTCAGCATTTTTTGTGTACGATGTTGGCGTAAGTGGAACCGTACACATTCAGTTGGTTGTGAAAGGGGACTATTTTTAGATGAGCACGTTAGCTGGTTAAACTAGTGGGAGCTTGCGCCATGGGGAAGTGCAAGTTTAATGGTAACTGGATGGCTAATCCCACGTTCGCGACGTGGTTAGCACCGGTTGCAGGCAATGGCTGGAAATTATAGCTTAAATTTAATTTGAAAAATAGCTTAAATTTGGTCAAAGTATCCTTAAAAAAGGTCATAAAAAGTCTTAAATTTGGCTCCTTTAAACCTGCAGATACCCTGTTTCAAAATAAACGACTGAAGTACCTCCATCTGCTCATGTCTCAAAGAAAAGCTAAAGTCTAAATCATACAAAGTAGATGCCAGCGAGCGCTGTTCCTGAGCCGAGGCCATCTTTGTAGTTTTTCTCCATTGCAGCTCTGGCGCTAAGGCTACGTTCACACTGCAGGCAAAAGCGCATCAAATCTGATATTTTTTTTCCCCCCACATGCGACCCATATCTGATTTTTTTTATGACAGACTGAACAGCACAGATCCATTTTTTTTTTCAAATCCAATCCAGGTCACTTTTATATGTAGTACTGATTGTGATACATATCTGATGTTTTTGAAAGCGTCTGCGTCTGAACGGTCATGTTGCATTAAATCTGTCTCCTATGTCACTGAATCTGCGGAGTCGTGTGTTGATGTTCCTGAGGAGAAGCGCTGACAGAAGTAATTCAGGAGCCTGTCTGGACATCCTGTTAAGTTTAGGAATTAAAAATAGATGAGAGCATGAGAACGAGAGCGGGAGGTGCTGCTGGAACGAAGCGCCTCACCGGTCTCAGTCTCCGGGAATTAACTTAATACCTGAACATTTTTGTTGAATAATTATCGGGAAGACGGCGGGAATAAGGAGTACAATAGTTTACAATTTGTAAAGCAGTCTCCAGGCCAAAACGGGAGACTTGACAGGTATGATCCTGATCCTGTGGATGAATGGTCAGAGAAGGCTTTCCCATCATAACTCCACCTCTCCTGATTTAGACTCCACTGATTGTGACTTGTCTTCTGCGCATGCGGGTCGCTTTGGGGCTGTGAAGCGTTCACACTGGAGAGAGTTTGATGTCACATTTTAGTCATAATGTGAAGAGCCACATAAAAATGTTTTTAAAAAATATCCAATTTACTCAAAAAATCGAATTGAGCATCAAGGCCTGCAGTGTGAATGTAGCCTAAATCTGTCCGTCTCTCTGCAAATGTAGAGTGCTGTGATTGGCTGGACTTAAAATAGTTTGGGCCAATGACAGACCTGCTGAGGCTACAATGGATCCTGGCTAGTCCGACCTGAGAGTGAAGTCTTTTGCTACCGTTTGTGGGCTAGTATCTCCTACTGTGTTTACGTAGTCACCACTGATAAAAGGAAACAAAACACGTAGTTTTGCTTTTATTTCTGCCCGTTTCAGGTAAAGGAGTTCGACTCCATCTCACGTCTGGACCAGTGGCACACAACTCTCCTGCTGCGCATCAAAAAGACCATCCAGGGTGATGAAGGGGATCTGAAATAATTAAAAATGAACTCCGGGTAGGGATGCAGCATGGAGGGACAATACCGCGCATGTTTTCACACAACACACACCTAGAGAGGAGCACCTGCTTCTGATTCAGTGTTTTCCTGCTCACTGATGTATTTTAAGAGCTTCTGGTTTATTTATTTTTTTGTTACAAGCGTACCTTTATCCAGTCAGAATGTAAAGCCCTCTGGCCCTCACCTCTGATTAGAGGATTGCTGCATTCTTTTTTCTTAGCGGTACAGTTAAAAATCTGACGTGTAGACAAGAGACACTGCATGTATCGGTTTCCTAGTCAGAGGCAGCTTGTCTTTATTATTTTTTAAATCTAGTTACCGTATTTTCACAACCATAGGGCGTACCGTGTTATAGGGCGCAGCTTCAGTTACGGGTGTCTTTTTGGTATTTAACACATACAAAAGGCGCACCGGGTTATAGGGCGCGAGCGCGGTAAAACATCTGTGCGGGCTCGGGACTCGGAACATATCAGTGCAAACCAGACATTGTGAAAATTATAAACAGCCAAAAGCATGTTTCACTTTACTGGTCTAGTCCTGGTTCAGACCTGGTTTAGAGCGCACGTGCAGTTCCTCATTGCGTGCGCTGACGGCTCGTGCTCTTCTGATGCGCTGTGTTGAAGTTCAGAATGCGTTTACTGGTAGTTGGTGGATTTAACCACACAAACTTTCCACATGAATAAAATCATGTGTGTTATTAATAGGCCTAAGAAAATAGTGTGATTTGAATTGTGTTTTATTAAAAAAGGCAGCGGGGGCAAATATGGGTTTGGTTGTGCGTTATTTATTAATTAATCATCAAATCCATCAAAGTCCTCATCTTCTGTATCTGATAAGAACAACTGGGCTAGAGTACAGTCAAACACGCCAGGTTCTCTCTTGTCACAGTCAGAGTCTGTCTCGTTGCCGTCCGAACAATGTTCAGCATACCGCGCATACCTGCCCTTTTGAACTATTCGGGGTCCGTCTTTGCTCACATCCGCCCCTTGCCGTTCTCTCCACGCCCCTTGTCTTCTACTACGTTCGCGTCTCACAACAATACAATGGGCGCACATAGGGCGCGGCGTACATTTTGGAGAAAATTTAGGACTTTTAGGTGCGCCTTATGGTCGTGAACATACGGTACATATTTTAAAAATCTATATTTTAAATATTTGAGTATCTTATTTGCGTGTGAGAGGCTTCATAATTCTGGGTTTTATCGAAGCCATCAGAATGGATTTTGTTTCTGGTTTTTCATCCCACGAAGCAACTTCCTAAATTACGACTATGATATGCACAAAGGTAGACTGTTAAATATTTGTATTTAAACATAATGAAGTCATAATTTTATTACTCTAGGATGTGTTGATGTAACAATACTTTTTTTGCACCGGTTAGCTACGTTGTAGGTTGATTGTGAATAAACATAGTTGCCTCTTATTTGCAGGGAAGTCATTTGTTTTGTGTTTTGAGTGTAGTGCATGTCCTTGTGTAAAGTCACATTCACTAGTGTTAGCCAGACCAAAGGTTTTACTAATAAAAGGTCAGTTGTCCTGTGTTCTAACCTTCTATCAGGTGGGACAACAGACTGTGAATGTGATCCGTATGCTTGTTAAAGGAAACATCAATAAAGGTACTATATCAGTACTGTTGTGTTGAATTGAGCTTAATGAATTCTGGATAAAGTCTATAAATGTATTGCATGAAGTTGATTTTGGGAAAATGTTTGAGTTGGTTATCTTTTGTAACAAAAAATAGATTTTCATATTTTTTTCCCAACAAAATTAGATGGTAAGATTTTCTAATGAAACAATAAATCAAACTTCATCATTAGGATTAAAGTAAACCATAACCGTTACCATCAAGTTAAAGTCCCTTTAGTCAGCACTACACACAGGCAAAATACATCTCTGCATTTAACCCATCCCCCTGGGGAGCGGTGAGCTGCAGCAGTGGCTGTGGCCTCGGGAACTATTCAGTGGTTTAAATCCCTCAATACTGAGTGTCAATGCTTGCCAACTCCGGGTCGGGAGAGAGGTCCTACCTCAAGTGGAGGAGTTTAAGTATCTCGGGATCTTGTACGCGAGTGAGGGTAGGAGGGATCGGGAGATCGACAGGCGGATTGGTTCGGCGTCTGCAGTGAGGCGGACGTTGAGCCGATCTGTCGTGATGAAGAGGGAGCTGAGCCAGAAAGCCAGGCTCTCGATTTACTGGTCAATCTATGTCCCATCCCTCACCTATGGTCATGAGCTTTGGGTAATGACCGAAAGAACGAGATCGCGGATACAAGCGGCCAAAATGAGTTTCCTCCGTAGGGTGGCCGGGCTCAGCCTTAAGAGATAGGGTGAGGAGGTCGGACATTCGGGAGGGACACGGAGTAGAACCGCTGCTCCTCCGGATCGAAAGGAGTCAGTTGAGGTGGTTTGGGCATCTGGTCAGGATGCCTCCTGGACGCCTCCCTGGGGAGGTGTTTCGGGCATGTCCTGCCGGCAGGAGGCCCCCGGGTCGACCCAGGACACGTTGGAGAGGTTACATCTCCAATCTGGTCTGGGAACGCCTTTGAGTCCTGCCGGAGGAGCTGATGGAGGTGGCCGGGGAGAGGACGGTCCTAGCTCCCTAGTTGGGATGCTGCCCCCGCGACCCGGACCCAGATAAGCAGAGGAAGACAACGACTGAGTGTCAAGCAGGGAAGCACTGGGTCTCATTGTTAAGTCGTTGGTATGAACTTACCGTAATTTGAACCCTGATTTCTAAGTCTCAGGGCAGACACTCTACCACTTGGCCACCGAGAAGAGATCTGAAGTGAAGGACTTTACTCTAAGAGCTAAATAATCTATATGCATAACTAAAAACAACAAAACCAACACCAAATAGAACTGACACTATGCGATTTTAATCTAAGACAAGTTGTGTTCATAATATACATGTAAAATAAAGTATTACAGATAGCATACAATCTAAATGGAAATATTGCCTGTTTTGTAAAAATACAGATTTGCAATTAAAAAAACCACAGGAAACATTACCTGGTCACAAAGGCCAAAACTATTTCATGAAAGTAATCCGATAACAGTTTTCAACATTGTTGAGTTTAAACCCCACCACCAATAGCCACGGTTGAGCTTTAGAGCCAGCGCAGGGAAATAAAAGGAGACATTAGCTACTTATGTCACAAATTTTTACAGCAAAAGACAATTTGAACAAGATGTGGATACATTTAAAAAAAAAAGTAAAGCAATCTATGGAATCTGACTAATGATAGTCAAACAGAATGCCAATGAAAAAAGTATCTAAGAAAAAAAGATTTATTCAGACAAAAATGCTCAAATTCATTGGTAGCAACATCTAAATGACCAGAATACCTACCTTACTTTTCTTCAACATAAAGCCGAATGTAAATTATGACTTGCCAGGCATAGAAGAAAAGTTACATTTACTTTCATCGTTACTTTGAATTTAAACCTCAAAACAATGGAGGCAATGTACAAAATAATACAGAAACGCCATTGTTTATCCAAAATGTATGAAGTTTTTACTTCAGTTATCCAACTGGTAAGAAGGGCGGGACTTCTCAACAGCTATTTAGATCTTTGTTAGCAGGGTTCCTGTAGTGCTAAACCATGGGAGAAACTGCACTTTGAGATTACTTATGTAATGTAAAGCACATTATAAATAAAATGTATTATTTATTATTATGATTATTATTATTATTTCTGTAAGGTCATCCAATGTTTTTGTTGAAGAAACTGAAGTTTTGGGTTGCTTGCAAGGAAGGTGGTCCTGAAAACACCGGTGGCTGAAAAGCAGGAGGAAATGTAATTCCAGTTTTCTTTTGAGAGACAAAATGCCTTAAGATGTTTAAGATAAGCAGGGACACTGCAATGGTTCTAGTGGGAAGAATACGTTTTCTACACCATCTGCTGATCTGCTGAGCTTTTAGGTTCCACTGAAGAATCACCTGCCGTCTCATTTTGTTCTTCACTTTGGACCACAGATGTTTGTTTCTGAATAATCCGATCATCTATAATAACAACATTATAGTCTGACGCTGAAGTCTGAGTAATGGTTGTATTTTCTACGGGTGAAGCTAAAATAGTCTGAGAAGCAGCTGCTTCGATCACAGATGATGTGGAGACGGTGGAGATGTCTGTGACTGAAGCTAACATGCCGTCAGAAACGGGAATCGAGAGAGATGACAGAGATGTGGAAGGACCTTCAGAGGACACAGTTACAGGTTGAGATGCCGGGACTGGTATGGAGAAAGGGACAGGGATGGTAGAACCTAAGGAAATTATCCTTGCTCCAGTGCCGTTAGCAGCTACTATGGGCTGGATCCCTGCTGGATCGTCAGAATGGAATAGAGTGATACCACCGTGGCTCACTAGAGCAATGGTTCCTTGGCTGGCCCAGCCAGATGGGAGAGTGATTGGCTCAGATGAAACCACAGTCGTTTCTGTTTGGGTTGTATCAGCATCAACAACAGCCGAGCTAGTGGCAGGAGCCGAGACAGAAACATCAGGAGCATTGTCAGAACCTTTAGTAGTTGTCCGTTTCTTCTCTGGATCTGCTTTTTCTTTAGAGGGAGACTTCTTTTCCTCGACATTTCCCTCCAGCACCACCAGGTGGGTCTTCCACGGAGCATCCGAGTTATGGATCTGAAATTTAAGCATGATCGTGTCATTTTCAAAAGCATCAAGAGCACCTAATACACATTTTATTTGGAGGTGCTGATCCTCATCCCAGCCGCTTCACACTCGGCCGCGAACCTACCTAGCAAGAGCTGAAGGTCATAGCTGGACGAAGCTAGGAGGACACATCATCCGCAAAAAGCAGAGATGAGATTCTCCTGCCACCAAACTCGACACACTCCACACCACGGCTGCGCCTAGAAATTCTGTCCATAAAGGTGATGAACAGAACCGGTGATAAAGGGCAGCCCTGGCGGAGTCCAACCCTCACCGGGAACAGGTCCGACTTACTACCGGCTATGCGGACCAAACTCATGCTCCTCTGGTAAAGGGACTGAATGGCCCTTAACAGAAAGCCAACCACCCCATACTCCTGGAGCGTCCCCCACAGGGTGCCCCTGGGCACACGGTCATAAGCCTTCTCCAAATCCACAAAACACATGTGGATTGGTTGGGCAAACTCCCATGCCCCCTCCATCACCCTTGCAAGGGTATAGAGCTGGTCCACAGTTCCACCGCCAGGACAAATCTCACCTATGGTAATGAGCTTTGGGTTGTGACTGAAAGAATGAGATCGTGACTACAAGAGACCAAAATGAGTTTTCACCACAGAATGTCTGGGCTCTCCCTTAGAGATGGAGTGAGTAACTCGGTCATCTGGGAGGAGCTTGGAGTAGATATGCTGCTCCTCCAAATCAAGAGGAGCCAATTGAAGTGGCTTGGGCATCTAGTTAGGATTCCTACTGGACGCTGCCCTGGTGACGTTTTCCGGGCATATCCAAATGAGAGGAGACCCAAAGGATAACCCAGGACACGCTGGAGGGACTATGTTTCGGAACACCATGGGATTTCCACAGAGGAACTTGTCCAAGTAGCTGGGGAAAGAGAAGTCTGGGCCTCCCTGCTTAGGCTGCTGCCCTCGCGACCCAACTTCGGATAAGTGGAACAGAATGGATGGATGTTGTAATTGGTTTAGTAATAGTGTTTGTTATTCAGTTTCTAAACGGTGAAGGTCCAAGCCAACAGTTTGGTAATTCTACTTGAGGCTTACATCATCATTTTTAAATTAGTCCCAGTAATACCGTACACCGTGGTAAAATGTGGAGGAAGATAGACGGTATTTAAATTTGGATACCGCCCAAGCCTGAAACTTGAATGAAAATAGCCCTGTTTTAATAAATAATAAGAGGGATACCCCTTGGGATCCTAACTGGATTAAGTCACTACTCCACTTTATAAGACCTGTACTGATTTTGGCAAGTTTGGAAAACCTTTCCTGTGAAAACAATCGGCTGGAAGTAACCCGGGACAACACTGGCATGGCTCTCTCACACACTGTTAGGATAATGCTTTGCACAAAAATGTGTTATTCTACTATGACTATAACGGTTTGATGGGGTCAGAGTGACGCCAATGCACGTAGACCCCATATCGTCCATGCTGCCACCTGCTCAATCCAGGATCTCAACAAGTTGTTCAAAGATCACGTCATTGTGAAAGTTTTGTGAATGCTCAAAACTCACAAAGCTGTCGTGAGCAACAAGGAGCCCACTACATTCTTCATACTTTCCAAGCTCGTGCAAAGATGTGCTATGCTGTGGCTGATCGTAGTTTGATGTCAGATTAAATTGTATTCATTACCTGAGTGTGCCGTCGAAGAGTGGACTTGTCAGTAAAGGTACGATTACAGAGTCCACACATGTATGGCTTCTCTCCAGTGTGAATCCGCTGGTGCCTTTGGAGAGCGTTAAGCTGAGTGAACTGTTTATCACAGTCTTTACAGCTGTAGGGACGCTCACCTTGAACACAGTCAGTTCAGAAAGTAAATCACATAAAAAAGTATATAACCAAAAGTACATAAACACTCAAAGTTACCTGTATGTATTTTTAAATGTTGGTTGAGAGAGTTCCTTTGTGCGAAGCCTCTACCACACTGATCACACTTGTACGGCCTGGAGCCTGTGTGGATGTTTGAGTGGTACCTAAGGTATTCTTTAGAGGCAAAGCTTTTCCCACAGGCCTCACACATATAGGGTTTCTCCCCTAAAACAAGACCAGAAATAGTCATCTGTGTGTATGTATACAGCCATATTCTATTTGGTGTTTTGATAATAAAGACCTGAAACACAGTAATGATTGTTTTACCTGTGTGTGATCGTTTATGATAGGCCAACATGTGCTTCTGAGTGAAGCGGGCATCACATTCGTCACATGCATATGGCTTCTCACCGGTGTGAGTCCTAGACGCGTATAAACATGCGGATTGAGCCTTTATCATTGATCCAGGTAAACTTTGTTTTCAAGTAAAATAAACAGCATCTCCTTACACTGACAAAGGAATGACAAACGTCTTAGAGAAAAGGACTACTCAAGAGAGAAGAGCTACTCAACACATCTTGTGACAAAGCAACAGAAATATAAGAAAGGACGAGCTGTCTACCTGCGATGCATCTTAAGGGCAGAGTTCTGGGTAAATCTGGCCTTGCATTCGGTACACTCGTATGGCTTAGTGCCTGTGTGCGTCCTCTCGTGCAACGACAAGGCAGCCTTGGAGCTAAGGGCTTTCCCACAGCTGAGGCACAGATGTCGCATAACCCGTTCGTGTACCTGAAACGCAGCATGTGTTACTCTCTGACGCTGAGGAAAAGGATCGCAAAGATCTGTTGCTCCTCACCTGTTTCGTGTGCCGGACAACATCCTTCTTCCGTTTGAAGGTCTTGTCGCACTGGCTGCACTCAAAAAGCCTCTCGTTACTGTGAACGTGCTTTTCATGGATTTTGAGGTTGCTGCGATTAGCAAATGTCTGCTGGCAGGTCTCGCAGCGATAGACGAAATCAGCTTTCACTCCATGGTACATACTAAGAGAATGGGAAAAATTATTTAGAGTGACATTCAAATAGACATTTACAGGGATTTGAACTTTTTAGTAGCCTGGAAGGCCTTCCTATATGTGAATAGTCTGGCCATGATCCATTACCAGCTCTCAGTCGTGGGGCGGGATCTATGGTTGTCTTTCAAACTGTCTCTGCATGCTATTGGATAACAAACAACATGATGTACTCACTGCTAAAGATGTCAGTCAACGAGGCAGTCTGCCATACTCCTTCAAAGAAGACTCAAACACATGCTTTTTCTAAATAAATGTAAGTACCTCTATCTGCTCTTGACTCAAAGAAAAGTCCAAGTCAAAATAGTTTAAAGTTGACGCCAAAGCAGTTTCAAACAAGAGGTCGCCATCTTTGTTTTTCAGTAATATCCCGCTGTGATTTGCCCACCAAACGGCTACGAAGCTGGGTCCCTCTAGGTTTGCTGTAACATCCTGCCCTTCTGGCTGATATACCGATGATAGGGAGCCTAAGTCTCCTCCCTTTCTGGTCAGCTCATGGGTCCCCAGAAGAATGAAATAAATAAATAAATAAACAAGCCAATGGAGCTAAAAGATCTATTATCTAATCCGTTTTGCCTTAGGCCCTGAATCGCACATACGTTGTACTTCAATTTATATAAAAAGTAATGAAGTGTGTTTCGACCACACCAGCCACGTACTTTGAGATTTATTAGCTTATAAAAGTTCGTAATTAGTATGACTAAGTTCAAGTAATTTCTCCAGATATTTTTGAAAAAGCAATTATCAGCTGGTTATCAGATTAAGAAGCAGGAATTATCGGTTGTAAAAATTCCTTATCGTGCATCACTAAAAAAATGTAAAGATGTGTGTAGGTTGACAACGTTCATGTCCCTTTAAGAAGCTGTACCACCTTGAGTCACGTAAAAACGTCCGTGTTCGAGATAAGCCAGTTCTGCACAGATTAGATCATTGGTGATCAGCGCACAGTGCATACCGGTTAGGTTTGTGTCCGACTTAACGCTGACTTGCTCTGACGTCATGCCTATGTGGGATACATGCGATAACCTTGTGAAATCAAGGCGGCTGCAGATTTTGGAGCAAGGCGCTGCAGTTCCTCTCCACCAGCTGCAAAACCTAGAGCTTGACAGGAAACGCCTGGCTCTCACCTGATCTAAAATCTGATTTGTTCACATTTTGATCCAAACATCTGGAGGTAGGATGCGAAATGTTAGTTGGTCACATGTATTCTGTAAATCATGTTACGTTGACGATGACAACTATATAGGCCATAAAGAGAAACGTGACTTGCTTTGTCCCATTTCTTACAAGCACATTAAAATCTTCAGCTGATAACCTTTACTTATTATTACAGTCATATCTTAATATGCAGAAGTGTACAATATATGATCTTGTGAGGATGTGTTTCAGTTGCTAACAGGCACTAGAATTAAAATAAAAAAAATAAACAAGTATGAACGCCAACGCATATCTCATCCATCGTCACCTGCAAGCTACATGTAGGGAAATCTGACCGACTTGAACGTCGGCTTTCAGCCACTCCCACTGCTACGTCCGTCTGCTTGTCCTTTCCAGGCCAGGTGCTGCTCAACTCAAACAAGGCTAATGTGACTCAACGTAATAAACATGACAGCCCCACCTAGTGGACAACCTTTGTTTCTGCGCATACCTGTAGTCATTTATCGTTATCGAGGTGAAATCCTCAACATATCGGTATATTCATTTTAGGCCGTATCGCCCAGCCCTATAAGGGTGCATCTAAAATCGATGTTATGTATATAGTTGTATTTAAAATCCACAAACATCAAATGTGAAATCCATGGCACATAACAAGCAGAATTAGAAAATAGTGTCCATTCGGGGACCCATGGTCCAGAAGAAGGTGGGCGTGACTTAAGGTTGGTTAATTCTTGACGTGCAGCAAAATTACGTCATTTTAACACCCACGCCCCTCCACCGCGCCTCCGCATGGCCGAAAATTTCCACACCGCGCACCTAGGAAATTTAACCACGCAGACGGTCGGATGCGGAAAAACATGGCGGACTGGCAAGAACTAGTATGGCAGAGGTTCGTAAATACAGATATTTGTATGATTCAGCTCTCAGAGATCACCGTGATCAACATGTTGTTAATAATTCTTGGAGAGAAATAGCTCGGACTGTCGGAAAAGACGAGGACACTGTTAAAAATGCTGGAATGCCATGTTGTAACAACAGTAATTTCTACTTCTACTATGGTGTAGTGTTGGATGCACGCCGTAGAGCTCCATGCTGCCCCCTACAGTTTGGTAGTATATTGGCTCACCGCAGAGACGAGCCGCACGAACCATCAATGCTGCGAGTTGTGAAGCGCGTTCCATCCGCGAGCCGCATCACCAAGCGGAAAGTGAATGCGTCAAGCATAAACCAAGCTTTAGTATCCCTATTGGCCCACTAAACCAAAAGACCGTCTTGATTGGAGCGCTACAAATGTCAGCCAATGGGACAGCCCGCCATTAAATTGTGGAAGAACTACATTAAACAACACATCGTTTTTCAAGATAAACGCGCTGTGATTGGTCGGCCACAATACTAGCCGGGCTAGCGGAGTTTCCAATGGAGCATGCCTAGACCAATATGCAAAGCAAAATTACTTTGCTTCAGCAAATGACGGTGTAGATTCTAGGCTACTGTTTTTTAGAGACAAAGCCTCTAAATTATTTATTAATTTTATCTGACTTCATGGGAAGAATATAACTCATGAGTAAAGCTGGTTATTAACTGTGGCTCAAGGTTACTGTGACATCACAGTTTGTTCTTGATGCTGAAAATTACCTGATGTGCTTCAAGTAGCTTTTCTCGTAGTGAAAGGTTCGCTGACACTTGTTACATTGGAACTGAGCCTTGGATGCTTTATGCAGTTTCTCTTGTGACTGTCCTTTAATTTCCTCCCCCTCCCCCAAAGTAAACAAGGATTCATGAGAATCAATGCTGGGCACGTCTTCCTCACAGTCCCAATCATGCAGATTTGAGGGCGACTCCATCAGAGAAGCGTCTGGATCATCTACTTCACCCTTTTCCTTGTCTGACTGAGCCTCGTCTTCATTCCTGTTCTCTTCTGCGACTGAATCGTTACCTCGGTTTTCACCATGAAGGTTCTCATTTGAAGAGTAATACAAGCGCCTCTGGAGAACTTTACGGCCCGCCACTTTCAGTTTCAACTTCTTTCCTCGTTTTTTTTTCTTCAGAATGTTTTTCACCTTCATCCTTTTCGTAGGAACTTTCTCTTTCTCCGAGCTCTGAGGAGCATTCTGCAGTTGAAGAGGGGAGCTTTGAGTTCGCTTCTTTTGTTTGGTCTTTTCGTTTTGCTCGTCAGCACATGCTTCATCTGCAGATCGGTCTTTGGGTACACATTTTGTCGTTTGGGTATTTTGTGCCACTCCAGCACCCAAGGCCTTACCACAAATCTCAGACAGACTCTCACAATCCAATAACTGTGCCACAACTTGAATGTCACCAATGTTGCTTCTGTCCATTTCAACCTTTCCAGTGTACACAAAGTCCAAAAACTTGGAAAAATCACTGACTTTGATAGTTGAGAGTGATAACTTGTCTCTGATTGCATCTGGAGATAAAAGGATGTTCTTGAAGTAGCCGCTGGATGCAGCAAGCATCACCTGATGGGCCTGAAACTCCTGCACGTCTCCCTCATAGTCCACTTCCACTGTGACATCACAAAACTGGCCCTTGGTCCTCAGTTGATGCAGAGAAGTCAGAATAGAGTTATGATGTGAATCTGACGCAAGCTGGAGCTCTTTGATCCCCATTGTTCACTTGTAGTCCTGATGAAAATAAAAACAGGTAAAAGAGAATAAAGAAGCTGAAACAGGCAGGTGTCGATCCTCCTGTCCTTCCAAGAAGTGAAACTTTCTTGCTATAAATGGGGTTTAAACAATTCAGCTATTAGAAGTTTTGGAAAATGTTTCCTTTGGATTTGTGTTTTCTATTTATCCAATATCCGTTCACTTCCAGTTGATTTGTTTACTAAAACCTTTTTCTTTGATCAGGCATAAAAAAGGCTGCCAAACTCAAATCAGTTGTACTAAACCTGCCATATGAACTCCGAATCTCTCCAGTCAGTATGGACAAGAACAAATATTTGGGTATTTAGTTGAAAATAGATCAATTTAGTAAAAAAATAGGTCCAGGCTAAATGTTTAGTGTTCTTGACTATGACGACTGTGTTTACATGCATGCTGTTTCCTCTGGCGCCTGTCATTCAGATACTTTTCATCACAGTCCCAGACATTTCATGTAAAATTAATATTAATGTGTATTATGTATTAATGTGTACTTTATGATATGGCTTCTTGTCGTTCTTTAAAAATATTTCTTATTTGGCTCACTGTAAGCAATTATAGAAATATTTAGAGGTGACTTTTATTACATTTACTACTGTCTAGAAATATATTGTAGGGACTCTTTATTAGGAGCATCCAGCTGCGTTATTTGCTGGTTAATGCTAACAATAGCATCACAGACGACAGGAAAAGTTGGCATAAAATGACCGTCTAGTTACACAAACACATAGAAACCAAATCACAAATGCTAACTTGCTCGCGGGGGGAGAGTGGTCGAGTAGCAGGAAGCTAAATACACATATACAAGAAGCAAGGTTTTCTTACCGTAAGCTTGCTAAAATGGCAGCAAACAATTCGTTCACTGGAAGCTACTTCCTGTAGCGGCGCTGGTGTTCTCACAAAACCCCCAGACATACGGCTGTACTCCCTCCCAGCCATAGATATGTATATAAACACTAGATGACTCATCCCCGCTGTTTGCCAAGAAACGTGGCGGCCATCTTACCTCAGACAACTGCCCCCTTTCTTGACATTGGGGTGTATGGTGCCTGTACTGTTTAAATAACTCTAACTTGCTCAATTTTCAACCGATTTTCAAAAGATTGTATTTGTTATAAACGCCAGAGATATGTCTATGAAACAGGATGGTATGGCCCAGAAATTCTACACATATATATAGATCTATAACTATCTAGATCTAGATCTATAGATATATATATTTCTATATGTGTATATCTATATCTATATTTATATAAATATGTATATATGTATGCATGTATATGTATGTATGTATGTATTTATATTATATATATATATATATATATATATATATATATATATATATTCCTGGTTTGTGAAGTAAGATTTGTTTAGAGATGAGATTTCAAGGTTCTTTTGAGGTAACGCCCACATTAACAGAACACAGATACAAAAGGTGTATGGAAATCTCTCCACTGGTTGCCCGTGCAGTTCAAGATAAACTTCAAAATTATGCTTCTCACTTACAAGTCCTTGAACCATCAAGCTCCTCCATATCTGTGTGAACTTGTCCATTACTACAACCCGCCGCGTGCTCTCAGGTCTGAAGATAAGCTCCTCCTAGCTGTTCCCAATGCACGTTTAAAAAGCCGTGGAGAGAGGGCTTTCTCTGTCTGTGCACCGAAGCTGTGGAACGCATTACCACTGCTAGTGAGGCTAGCACCAACAGCTAGCATTTTTAAATCACGCCTGAAAACTCACTACTTCAACCTAGCTTATACAACATAATTATGAACCTCACTGACATCTGCACTGTTTATAAACTGACTCCACAATTATCGACTTCCGTATTATTGAGGTTCTTTGTAAAATGTTTTTTTTTCCTATTTTTACTTCACCCTGTGTCTTAAGGATTTTTAGCTGTTATTTTTGGGAATTTTGTTGTATTTCCTTTTTATCTTTTATCTGTGTTCGACATGTTTATATAACGCCTGTTTAATTAACCAACATTTTTAGTGTACAGCGCCTTGTTTGATTGTAATGCCTTGTGAATGCTCTTTATAAATAAAATTGGATTGGATTGGATTGGAAAATGTGCACCCCAACAAATAAGACAAACAACACCCAACTCACATCTGTCAGCCAGAACCGGCCCGCCAGCAATAAAATTTCAACCTGCAAATTATTTTGTATTTTCACAATTTCTTAACTTATCTCACAAAATCTTAACTGTGTTTTCTTATTTATTGACTTTTATTTAAGCTCTTTGGAAAATGCTTTCTGAAAAAGTTAGGAAATAAAAAAGATAGATTTGGTTAATAAATAAAATGGATTACAGTAATAAATAAGATAAATGGATAATGGATTGATCTTGTGAAGGAGATTTTTAACATTCATAAAACCAGATTAACAATGTATAGAAGGAGGTAGCAGCAGCAATGGAACAGCAGTTTCAAATTATTTTATTTACATAAAAACAATCAACAGACTGAAAAATGTACAAGTCTAGGTTTTCTTTGCAACAGTTACAGATTAAGTGATCCCACGTTGTCTTAATTTGTCACAGCGGCAATTCGAGCATCCAAAGGCTGCACGAGAGTCAGGCATGTTGACCCTCAAGCTTCACAATTAATAAAAGTGCATTTCTGAAAACATAAATCCAGAAATGTCCTGTTTTAATATATCCCAATATAAGTTTTGTGTAACAAACCAAGACGCTTAAAAATCACAGGCAATTTAGCATGAATTTATTTAAAATAAATCGAGCGACTCCCACTGAGGTAAATAGTCAACTTTGTTTTGCTAAGCAGAGCACCCACTGTATCCCTCGTCATCTAAGCCAAGTTACACAGCTAATAAATGCAAAAACATTCACAAACACAGCCATTTAGACAACTATTGAGCTCTCGTAAAGTCATTATTGGTTTTGTAGAATCACATAAAATATCGATTGTGGGAAACGGGGTGATGTGGGTGTGTTTGGAGGACTTAGTCAGAAGCCGAGCACAGGCATTCTGAACCACCTGTAGACGGTTCAGGGAGGCTCTGCTCAGACACGTGAAAAGAGAGTTACAGTAGTCTAAGCGTGAGGAGATGAAGGTGTGGAGAACTGTCTCAAGTTCAGAGCGGGACAGAATGGGACTCAGCTTAGCAATGTTCCTGAGATGGAAGAAGGAAGAGCGAACAAGAGAACTGGCATGAGAATCCAGGGTGAGAGCTGGGTCAAAGGTCACACCAAGATTCCTGACGGAAGGTTTGGTGTGAGAAGCAAGCTGACCAAGAGAGTCTCTGACTTTGGGAACCAGCTTGTCTGGGGCACAGATGAGGATCTCAGTCTTATCTTCATTCAGCAGTAGAAAGCTCCCAGCCATCCAGGTTTTGATAGAGTCTAAGCAGGTGTGTAACAGCTGCAGCTTAGACATCTCATGGGGCTTAAAGGAGATGTACAGTTGGATGTCATCTGCATAAAGATGGTAGGAGATTCCTTTGAAGGAGCTCAGCATATGCTGAAGAGGAAGCAGATAGAGGAGGAAGAGCAGAGGCCCCTTGCACAGAACCTTGTGGGACACCATGGGTAAGGGAGGTGGTGGAGGACCTAAACTTGGAGACGGCCACAGAAAAAGTGCGCTCAGACAGATAAGAGGAAACCACTCCAAAGCAGATCCTGATAGGCCTACCCAGTCTCCCAGCCTCTCCAGTAGCAGGTGATGGTCAACAGTGTCAAAGTCTGCAGTCAGGTCCAGCAGGACCAGAACAGAACAGTCCCCTGCATCACTGTGAGTCAGAAGGTCATTAGAGACCCTAAGAAGAGCTGTTTCAGTAGAATGAGCTCTACGAAAACCTGACTGGAAGCTATCATAGATGTTATGTTCATCAAGAGCAGCTGTGAGTTGTTTAGCCACAACCTTTTCCAAGATCTTGGAGATGAACGGAAGTTTAGAGATGGGTCTGAAGCTGCTATTGAGAGAGGGTCAAGACTCAGTTTTTTAAGAAGCGGGTGGATTACAGCGTTCTTAAAGTAAGCAGGGGCCTGACCAGAAACCAGAGAAGCATTAATTATAGAGAGTACGCTGGGACCGATGGACTGAAAAGCACTTTTAAACAAAGATGAGGGTAAGATGTCGAGGGGGCATGCAGAGGTCTTCATAGAGTTAACTAGTTTGGTTAACTCAGGCAAAGAAACAGGAGCAAAGCTATCTAGGATGATGGGCCTGGTTGGAGTCGGGAGAGGCAGCGGTAAGGCTGAAGGAGAGATGCTAGATCTAACCTTATTGACTTTGTCCACAAAGAAAGACAGAAAGTTCTCACAGTCTGTAACAGAGTGGATGGAGGCTGTAGGAGAGGCAGGAGAGACGATGCTGCTGATGGTGTTAAACAGCACCTTGGGGTTCCCTTTGGTCTGGGACACCAGGTTGGAGAAATAGGAAACCCTAGCGTCTCTGACTGCAGAGTTAAAGGATGTCAGAAGATCCTTTAGGTGCAGCAGATGGACGTGGAGATGGGCTTTCTTCCACAAGCGCTCAATTTTCCTGCATTGGTGCTTCAGGCTGCAAAGGCTGTCATTAAACCAGTGAGTCGGGTTCACTGCAGGAACTGATCTGGTTCTGACAGGACAGATATTGTCCTGAATGGAGAGGCAGTGCTCGTTAAACTGAGAAGTTAAGAAATCTGGGCCGTTATCAGAAGAACAGGTTGGATCAAAAGCAGCAGAAAAATTTCTAGCTGTGCTCTCATTGAGAAAACGAGAACTAACCATACGGCGAGCAGGAGGTGGGGATGCAGAAACTGACAAGTTAAAGAAAATGCAATGGTGATCAGAAATATAAACGTCCTCAGGACTAACACTGTCAGCGTTTAGTTAGACTTAAATACAGTACCCCTAAACACCCACATGGGGGCGGTGTTGCACAAAGGGATGATGTGCTTTACAGTAAACACAGCTAACTTGTTTCTAATCTACAAGCAGCTCAACCGGCTTTCCCACACTCTAAATTTGTATTTACCTCGGATTTAGTGATTTATGCCTTCATCACAGGTACTTATAATTTGTCAAACACTGTTTTTTATTGTTCAGGCCCTGTAAATCAGCTGCTTTGTCTCAGAGTAACTGCATAATGTGCAAAAAGGACAAACTATTTCAGCCACAGTCAAACCAAGATCCACAGGGTTGCAAAATACTCACATTCCAAAAAGGTGTATGGAAAGCTACTTTAGGATTCACATGGGAACTGCTCTGCAGCTGCCATGTCTTTTTCTTCTTCTTCCTGAGGAAATCCACATCCCTTATATTTGTCTTAATGAATTCTGCAAGCTCACAGTCTGCTCTGTTCCTGTGAGTCATGCTGCTCTCAGGATCTACTCTGTACACACTTCAGCCCTGACCTGGAACACTGTGTTCACCCAGCTTCATCAAATATAATTAGCATAGGTGTGCATATGTTGCAAAGCATTGCCATGGAAATATGCTTAAAGGTAGTTAGATTGCAACGTTTTCAAGCAGTTTTTAGTTATATTATTTCCTTTTTTTTTACACTTAGGTTGTCTGGTTGTTAAATTGGGTTTTAGATCATGAAATCAGGCTTCCATTTATGAGTTTTCATGCAGTCAGACTGTCTATGAATAGATAGACATCACCTTTTTATCTCTGCAGCACAGTGTAATTACTAAAATGTCTGTGTATTTTACTTAATGAAACTGTCAAAAGTAAATACAAAAGCTATTTCAGTCAGGATTTGTGATTTCTGATGTTGTCACAGTGTGTGTTGTCAGAGGGAAAAGGAGGAGAGGAATGAGGTCACGTTCACTGCTTGACAAGTGCAATCAAAAGGATAAACACAGCTCTCTATCGCTGAAAGAACAAAAGGTCAAGTCATTTTAATTGACTTCCAGCCTTGATGTTACTTGACTTTTCCCATGGCTTAAACGTATTTAACGTTCTTCAGAGATACACAGGATTTATAAGCATCAAGTTTGCCAACTGTATCACCAGGAATCACTGG